TATCGCGCGACGCGATCGCATTATAAGCGGCTAGCGCCAGTTAAAGCGATTACCGGCTGCAAGGCTGCATAGAAAAACCGACGTTATACCCGATTACAATGTGACTGCCGTTTCGCGGCGATTCACGATCGCGGCCGGCGGAACCGATTTTCGATCGAGCACCGCGTGTCCCCGTACCCAGGCCCCGTTCCCAACGCCCGTCCAACAACGTCGATTATTTTAAAGGCTTACCAGCCGGATTATGCACGTGACGCCGCGATGTTAAATGAGAATGAATTGGCCGAGCAAAGCGTTAAATACTATTCCCTTCCCCTCCACCCTTCCGCTCCTCTGTTTTGCCCGTTTCGGGTGTCGCCAACCATCACCAACGATTCTTCTCGTCGTTTCAAAGAATGCGTCGTGCAACGCATCATTTTTGCAAGAAATTTCGCAGAGAAATAACTGTGTTCGTTGTACACGGAACTAGGTGAAAATTTGGAGCACTGTATTACCTCTTACTGCTTTCTACTGAATACTGCTACTACTTCCTGAAATAAATCTGTAATTCTTTTGTTATACGTTTGATAAAATTAGTTTTCTCTGTGTTTTGATGTTTCATAGAAAAAAAAATAGGTGGGAAGAAACTTTTGGCCCATCCTGCATGTTATTTTGAACGGAATATTTCTCGTAGATTTTTGCTGAGAAACAAAAATATAATTTCATTCCGAAAAGATAATGGAACATCGGTTGGCGATATTAATCTCGACGTGCTCGAAATTCCCGAGCAGAGTGTACGTATGTACGTGTATCGCGGTTTTACGACATTACTCTAGTTCCGCGTAATTTGTCGCGCGTTTAAAGCAATTATTTCACTCCGGATGCATTTTCAACCGCGCATATCAGAAATATGCAAATGTCCAGGGGGATATTAAAAAATAAAGGAACGTTTACACTTCGAATTTTTCCCTGTCATTTTTTCCCCCCCGTCTAGCCCGCCGTGTCAGCTTTACGCAAATATTTCCCCTCGATACCTCCACCAAACGTTATTTACGATTGCTTGGATATTTTAAATCAACGAACCGTTCACCGACAAACTGGAAATAATAAACCAGGTGCGTTGCGTCCAGCTCTTCGAAATATATAACCCGAGATATATCGCTAAAAAAAAAAGAAAAAAAAAAAAAAAAGAAAAAACAACTATATACAATGTATATAAAACTACATAGATATAACGTATATACATATGCAAGGTGAAATACATATACGCGGAAATAACCGGAGAGTTTGAAGAATTGCTTCGCGCCGAAATTCATTTTCATTATTTAATTGTACAACACCGGTGTAACCGATTATCCGGTTAATCTTGCATCATCCGATTGAACGGTCCGGTTAATCAAATAACGAAGGCTCGTGCTTACAATATCGTTTATTTAATTCAACAATTTTTGCCGCGCGATGCAACAATCGCCAATTATTTGTGTAAATGCTAGTAAATCGATCGGACCGCCGTGCACGGGAGGAGCTCTCTCTCGTTCGAATATTTCGGCGACTATTTTTCTCTTATAGCGGCCGCCATTGTTCACCATTGCGAGATATAACGCGAATCCCTGGGTCTCGTTCGCGGAACCACGTTTCACGCCGTCGTTCCCTGTCGTTTATTTTTGACGTCCCTCTCGCTCTCTCTCTTTCTCTCTCGAGCGCGCGCTCCAGTAAATCGTCGGCTGTCACACAATTTACGTTTTCGAAATTCACGCTTTGTCAAAAATACCTGTCCCGCGTGTACCCTCTCCGAAATTTACCCCGGAAATACCAACGTATGGAGCTGCAAAGCGAGAGAGAGAGAAAGAATAATGGTATTTACGGAAAATTGATTGCGCAAGGGGACATTTGATGTCGTTTTCTGCTTATTAAAATACGGTCTTTTTTTTACATTTCTCTAAATGTACTCCCATTTGTTTTTTTTTT